GGATTCATTGTCAGTTTAAAGGTTTTTTTAACCCATTTAGTCCCAAGCTGCTTTATGTTTAAAAAAATTGATTTTTTATACTTTTCCTTAAGATAAGATGGAATGAAGAGTATAAAAATGTACACAGGTGTTTGAAACAAAAAATTGTTTTTGAGATATGAGATGGTGCAAAAATGCACCACTGGTAAGATAAGTGAACAAGAGCACACAAAAATTTTGATTATCATTTATTAACTAAGTAATAAATTAGTCGTAAATAAATAATAATACTAATACAACATTATACTAACAAATACCAACTTTAGTATAAAGTTTAATATAAAAAATATTTAAACTAAAATTGGTGCAAAAACGCACCAATGGGATTAACAGTATAACGATTTATTGTGATAGTCCGTAAAACACTCTACATGTAAATGAACATTACACTTACTACACATATGTATAGTATGTTTATGGCATATTTTACATCTTCTACGAGCTTTAGAGTCGTGATTCTTTATTAAATGGTCATTGGAAGATTCAAATTCTCTGTTTGACCTCGTGTTTCGTTCAGTATTAGGTGTTGCGTTTTCATATTTCATTAGCCGAACTGCAATATGTGATTTAAAATCCAATTGTGCCATTTTAGTATTATTGACAGTATTGTATAATTTCCACGCGTTTATTATGACACTATCCAATGAATTAATAAATAGTGGCCACCACCACTTCTTTCCTAATACTCTTGTTCTATAGTTGGCTATTCCGTTATCGTGTAAATCTACACCACCCATGAATTTATTATATTCTGATACCGCATAAGGTTGATTAACTAGTGTTTCCTTTTTTTTCTTTCTGTTGTACCTCTTAATTGATTGTATTGGCTCCACATTCAAATGGTTAGTAATTACAGTGACAACGGAGTTATCATTCCATCGTACTAAAGAAATTTTTGAACAGGTATCATAAGCTGTATCAAAAAAACCCCTTTCCTTCTTTGAAGTACATTTTATGTTTTCTAACGGACAATTTGTGACTTTTTTTCCATTTTATATCAAATCTATTTTCGTTTTCCTTCATAAGACGGCGTTGTTTCACCGCGAGGTACTCATCGTCTGAGGAATTGTATTCGTCTGCATTGGGTACTTGTACCTCGTAAGTACCGGCGATGTCTGTCCTGAGGACAATTCCTAGACGTTAAATTTTCGTCGTCTATACACTCCTCATTCACGACGGCTAAAGTCAATATCGAATAAAAATAAATTTTAAACCACAACAAAATAATATAAGAATTACCTCCCTTTCTCTCTATTTCCAGTTCATTAACAATTTCTTCTAGAGAAGCATCTAATTCCCTTTTTGTGAGAAACCGAGACATTTTGCACAAAAACACACTCTTAACGCAGTATTCCATAAATGACTAAATTCGTTCGGAAATTCACCTAACAGACGCGTCTAAACTGGTTTCAAATAATACGAAAGATGATGCAATCCTTATATCTCTTCATACATCGTCCCAATGGTGCGTTTTTGCACCATTAATGTTTCAAGTCGTATTTTCAGAATCCATATTTTTATTTCGCGTTTCAAGATATATATGAGGAAAGTATGCACTAAAAACTTGCAAATGAAAAAATTTTGAAGAATTTTATGCACTAAAAATAGTTTTATTTTCATTGTATATTTTGAACAGAAATGTTCAATAGAAAAGAATTGATGTAAATATGGTTTAAATAGCAAGAATTATGAAATATTTTGATATGTATAGCCTAACAACCTTGTACTGTTATCGTACAAACAGCTAACACCTTTAAATTTGGAAATGTATGGCTGTAAAATAATTTTAAAAACGCTGGTGCGTTTTTACACCAGTGGGACTAAATGGGTTAATATTAAAGTTAAATATGTCGAGTTTGGACTCATTTTAAAGAATTTTTTTATGAAGTTGACAAATATGTCGTTAGTTGAAAGTTCAAACTTTTTGGTTTTTTGAGATAAATACGTCAAGTTTGGACTCACTTTAAAGGTTATTTTATGAAGATTACGAATATAATACTAAAATTAAAGTTGACATTGACAACTGAAAGTTTTTTTCACGACTAAACCCGACTATTTCTACTTCTAGGTCTTGTGTTAGTTCTAGTTTGAATTGTTATGTAACCCTAAATTTTTGTACATTTTAATTGATCTAAAATTATTTTTTTTTGATTTAATCCGCTTACCTTGCTTATAATTTCATCCATTTACTCATTTTGAATTAAATACAACCTTTAAATCCAATTAATTATGTGTTTTTCATTAAAAAAACTTAAATTCAACGTCAATTTTGACAAGCACCTGCAATATTTAGATCTTAATC